GAAAAAAAAAAAAAAAAAAAAATCTACAAGAAAAAAAGAACCTGTTACAGACCATCACTTACCATCGCTTTAGAACCAACCACTACTTATGGTGCAGGAGCAAGAAGAAAAGAAGAGCAGCCCCGGCTGTGGCTCCCCGACGGTGATGTACACGGACAGGGTGCTCTACATGAGGCGCGCCATGCCCAGGACACAGCTGGTGACCGGATGTGTGAAAGGCACTCTGGTCCCGGTCTCCACTTCCCACTCGGTTACAGACACATGCCCCAACGCAAGAGAATCTACAGTATATTCTCTGAGCCAGCTGCAATTGTGTTTCAACGAAAAATGTACCGGTCACTTCCAGCTACGCTGACTTAGGTCTTCTTGCTTTATAGTTTTGTTTTTGACCTGATGTATTCTCCTGGCTGTGCATGCACTAGGAGCACAAAGAGCACCCACTCCGTTTTGCTCCTAGGTACATAAGTGCATAGACTTCGTCTGGGAGGCCAGAGGGCAGCACAGCCATGAACCCTGGCGCGGCCAGGCTGAGCGCGCGGGAAGGTTAGCACTCAGTCTGGAGGCCTCCCTGGGTGCGCCCCACGTGCACTGGTTCACGACCCAGGGACCCCGGGCTGGCTGAAGACTGGGGTGCATCTGCATCAGGGCCCTGTAGAGGGTTCTCTCTCTAAGAATATATATATATATATATATTTAATGTGTCGTCCATAGGGGGTCCGAGATGTTTTTCCCTTCGAAACAGAACAGTACAAACCCAGGTTTGCGAGCAGTGTCACAGGGTATCAAACAGAAGGAAGGTGACTTGTATTCCGTACCCCTCCCACGGCTTAGCGGCGTCCTCCCCGCCGCGCCACCCCAACTCCAGCCAAGCGCGGGCAACTGGCGCCCCCTGAGGCCTACCTGCAGGGCAAGCTCCTTCTTCTTGCTGCCCATGGCTCTACAAAGAAGACGAGGCCCGATTACCGCGGACTGGGGCGCTTCCCGCGGCGCAGCGCGGTGACAAAGCCGCTGCGCGGATCGGCAAGCCCGAGCCTCCTCCAGACGGATCAAGCCCCGGCCACCCCCGCCCGTCCTCTGCTCCTGCCTGGCGGTGAATCGATGCACCCGCACACCGCGAGCACCCCACGGGAGGCGCGGAGCCTGCAGCCCACGGGCTCGTGGCTCGTCCGAGACTTTTCTGGGGATCCGAGAAACCCCTTCCCACCCTGCGCCGGCCAGGCCGCGCGCACAGGCGGAGTCGGTGAGCCCGGCGCGGGATGCAGGCCGAGGAAGGACACGGAGCCCTGTCGTCGCTGCCGATCGCCTGAGTTACGGGGGAAATCAGCCACCGCCGACCGTCTCCGGAAAGGCACAAGGTCCCAGCGGCGCGGGTAGAGGCTCCGATAGAGTCCACGGCGTCCACGGTCTCATGGCAACCCCGTCACGCCAACCGGGAAAATCCCCACACAGACCACGCCCACCGTGCGCGGGGCGCGATCTCCAGGCGGAGAGCCAGAGCCAGAGCCCGCCTCCTGTGGCAGGGTGGGAGGGTAGGGACTCGCTCCTGGGCTGAGTGTGGACTCGCTCCTTCGTCTGCGTCTGCGTGTGGAGGCTTCGCACCTGGGCGAACGTCCAAGCGCTCTACTGACTGCTTGCATTCGCTCCTGCCTCGCCTGCCAAGACTGCTGTGCAGGGGTTTTTTTGTTTGTTTTTTTTTTTGTTTGTTTTTGAGAGGTTTTTGCTATAGGGCTCGTGCGCTCCCCAGATAGAGACAGCGAGACAGAAAGCGAGAAATCACCCCCCAGGAGGGATGGCCACGCTGCAATCCCTTCTCCATTCTCCTCTCCGGATCTTGGGCACGCACGCACACGCGCCCAGCGTGAGTTTTAAGCCACCGGGTCCGGGACACTAACCGCAGTCGACTACAGGGAGCCCAGCGACATAGCCATTATGCTAACTGCTGGTCCCAGATGTGCAGTTTTTTAATGTGCCATTAGGTATCTGCATGATGGGAATTGGGCAGAGGTGGCTCCAGGCTCTGAGGTTCTGCAAGGGTTTTCCTTAAAGAATGCAAAATTAGGAATTCGAAATTAGACATGAAAGGCAGGTGGAGCAAATACAAAGTTAACAAACAAGGAGTGTATGAATCCAACTATTTCTAGATCACTGTAAATATAAGTCGTCCAATGACACTAATTAAAAGAGATCAAAGTGGATTTTAAAAAGAAAGCTCAATTGTGTACTGTCTAAAAAAAAACCCAAATCCCCATAAGCTGTCCCATGCTCACACTAGCCAAAAGAAAGCTGAAGTCGCTAAATCAGTTTCAGACAAAGCAGATTCCAGAACAAGAATATTTATCAGGAATTAAACGAAGGCATGATATAAACGAAAGGGGTCAGTTCTTTAGGAAGACATAATATTTAATACGTACACCCTTAATAACGGAGCGTCAGGCCAGCCGGTGGCGTAGTGGTTAGGGCTGCTGGATCCCACAGCCAGCCTGATGGTGGGAGTCCCCGAGGGCCTGAGAACACACCCGGGGTGCCAGCATGTGTGCCCCAAGTCTCAAAAGGAAGAGGAAATGGAGGAGAAGGGATTATGGCTTGAACATGCCCCGTGGAGGGTGTTTTCTCAATTTCTCTGCCTCTGTCTCTCTCCAGCTAATGAAAATTAACAAGGTGAGCCAGCAGGTGGCACGGTTGTCAAGGCGCTGGATTCCCACAGGGCCCACCACAGTTAGAGTCCCAGACCGACAACTTAAAAAATAAATCACACCAGGGAACCAGCAGTTAGCGTAATGGCTATGTCGCTGGACTCCCACGTAGTCGACCGCGGTTCGTGTCCCGGACCCAGTGGCTTAAAACTCATGCCGAGCGCGTGTGCGTGCGTGCCCAAGATCCCGAGAGGAGAATGGAGGAGAAGGGATTGCGGCGTGACCATCCCCCCTGGGGGGTGATTTCTCACTTTCTGTCTCTATGTCTCTCTCTGTCTGTCTGGCGAGCGCACGCGCCCTACAGTGAAAATCTCTCAAAAAAAAAAAAAATCACACCAGAGAGGCCCACAGATGGTGTAGTGGTTACATCATTGGACTCCCACAGGGTCATTCAGTTATTATGATTGAAGATTTCAATACCACTTTTTTTGGGAACCAGCAGTTAGCGTAATGGCTATGTCGCTGGACTCCCACGAAGTCGACCGCAGTTCGCGTCCCGGACCCGGTGGCTTCAAACTCACACCAGGCGCGTGTGCATGCGTGCCCAAGATCCCGAGAGGAGAAGGGATTGCGGTGTGACTATCCCCCCTGGGGGTGATTTCTTGCTTTCTGTCTCTATGTCTCTCTCTGTCTGGCAAGCGCACACGCCCTATAGCAAAAACCTCCCCCAAAAAACCCACTTTTTTTCAAGAACTATTCATTTAATTATATTTGAGTTGAGTTTATATATATATATATTTAGAAGTTTTTGCCTTAGGCCGTGTGCACTCACCAGAGAGAGAGAGAGAGACAAAGACAGTGAGAGGGAAAACAAGAACTCACCCCCAGAGGGGATGGCCATGCCACAATCCCTTCTCCTCCATTCTCCTCCTGGAATCCGGGGCATGCATGCATATGCACCCGGCGTGAGTTTCAAGACACTGGGTCTGGGACTCAAACCATGGTCGACCACTTGGGAGTTCAGCAATAGAACCGCTAAGCCATCTGCTGGCCCCATTCTTTTTTAATTTGCTATACTGCACGTGTGCTCATCACAGTGAGAGGGAGAGAGAGAAGAGAGAGAAAATGATAAAGCAAGCCTCCAGGTCCAGGACTCAAACCACAGGTCGACCAGTGCCTTAACCACCACTCAACCTGCTGGCCCTCAACACCACTATTTAAATAACTGATAGAACCCAGCAGGCAGCAGGTGAGCAGGGCGTGGTGGAACTAGCAGTACTGCCATTTACGCAGCCCTTCATCCAGTGACGGCAGAACATTCTCAAGTCTGCGTGGAGCGTGGCCAAGATAGAACACACCCCAGGCCGTAAAGCACACCTCGACATTCTGAAAGAACAGAAATCACACAAGGAACGTTCTCGGACCACAAAGGACTTAAACTAGAAACAGGGACTTGGCAAAGCAGACACCGAATGATGTCCACCCAGGGAGCACGGAAGTTGCCC